ACCACGAAAAAAAAATCACAGCAGGTTGTTTTTCTAAACCTGCCTCACCGCCCACCGAATGTTCGTCTCCGCGTCCATACCCTCCCGGGATCTTCGGATGGAACAGACCAACAGTCAACACCATGTCTTCGGAGCAAGATTATCAAGATCTTTTCGGTCCTCAAGCTAAGAGGGCTAAACGTGGTCGAGTAAGTCGATGGGGTCGAACCTCTTTTCTGTGTGATTCCCGTTCCCTTACCGGGGTCCGGGTGACATGCCAGGAAAAAAAAAAAACTTCTTTGGACTTCAGCTAAAATTTCATCTCTTCTCTCTCGACGACGAAAACTGACTTCTTACTCGAGCAACAGCTCCAGACCGACAAGTCCGCGAATGCCATTCGAATACGCGATAATCAACGACGATCACGCGCCCGCCACAAAGAGTTTGTCGACGAGTTGCAGCGTAAGGTCCAGGACTACGAGAAGCGGGGGACTCAGGCCTCTTTGCAGATGCAAAAGGCTGCTCGAGACGTCGCCTTTGAGAACTCACGACTCGCGACCGAGAATACTCGTCTGCGCGCCCTGCTCGTCAGCAAAGGCGTATCGAATGGAGAGGTGGACGCACACTTGCGATCATTCGATGACGAAGGTAGCAAGGGCTCGCCTAGTGCGTCAAACATAACGACACTCGCTCCCATCCTCAATACACCCATCCTCCTCGAGCCATCACCGACCCAATTGCCTCCGCTACAAGAACACTTTGGCAAGGCGAGCTTCTCGTCTGAGACGGAGAACGAGCACCTCGCATCCAAGAGGAAATTCGGAGACTCGCTGCTCCCGCCGGTGCTCACCCTTACTCCAACTCCAGATGTCCAACAAGCTTCCCATCTAGACAGGCTCGCCGTGCTCGCCGACGCTAGTCTCAATCGCTCCTCCCAAACTGGCTCGGCACCCAACACTGTCTCGGAACCGTCCAGGAGCCCGCATCCCTATCATCGTCGTAGTGAGACACCTCCCCGTCCCTTGGAATCCCATCAGCAGCTCCCACCAGCTGCCTCGCCGCTGGAAATGTCTTGTAATGCTGCTGCACGCATCATTGCCGATATGCAAGGACACGGCGACGATCGGGCTACTCGACTGGCTTTGGGCTGCGGCGTCCAGGATGAAGAATGTTTTGTCAGAAACACGTCTGTCTTCCGAATGCTCGACCATCGATGATGAGGCCAGCTCAAATGATCAACCAGCTCGCGACAGGCCACGGCTCCTGTGTCGTTGACCCATGGCACCTTGTGTGCTATCTGTGCAACTCTACTCAGTTATTTTTGTCGTTGGTATGGGTATCCCGCGCAACAACAACGCGTGTGGCTATTCGAAGACGCAGCTCCAAGGGCCTCGGCTGCGCCTTGATACCGTCAGTCTATCTGCTCTAAAGCTGATGGAACCGGCCGAGTGCGACTGGCGAAAGTTTATTCCTCACTCGGTAGTATCCATCGACGGGCCTTGTAGGCAGACCTAACAAGTGCGCTCGACACTGCTTGGCACATAAACACGGCCAATAACAGAGACCGAGGATAGACCGCACAAGCTGAGGGCAGTCTCACGAGCTACACGGCAGACTGACTGATCGCGTTTGAGAAAGACGCCCTCCGCGACACTTGGGCAGACATGCTTCGCTCGAATTTGATACCCTTGTCTTTCTCTGTCTCTATGTGCCTGAATGCTCTTCAAGCAACATACCAATCGAAGATCGATTAGTTGTATTGTTTACTGTGGAGAGTCTTCGGGATTGAGGAAGCTTGCATTGTGCTTCATCCTGCGATCGCTCCGGAAGCGCTCAGGAAGCAGTCGACGACCTTCACTCGTTGCGTTTCGGCGGTGTACCTGTTCGAGTTGTCAAAGACACCGCGCCGAAGCAGCTTGTGGACTCATCGCGTCCTGGGCTACCGCGCGACTGTGCCAAGCATGGCTTGAGCGAACCCATGAATCTTGAATCATGGCAATGACGAATGGTGCATCCTAGAGCGACACCCTTCGAGTAATTGTTACCTATCTGTACATGTAATCTTATAACGTAAAAGGCTACGAAGCCATGCCCTCGTCACTGCCTACTTTAAGCTGAGCTATATACTTGCCATCTTTCATACCTACATGTGCCAAGTATATGCATGTGTGCCTTTTCTGTTTTCTTTCTTTTTCTGCTGGCACTTCTTGTCCAGCCTTCGACTTTCATACTCCCTCTCGATCCTAGCACGACATATTGACTATTTATTCGTTTGCTTCACCGCCATGCTCTCGATTGAAGGAGTGAGATTGAAGTTTGTATGCTTTACTGGATAATACCATATCAATCAGGCAAGGTTCCCATTTATCTCATCCAAGAGATGCCGTTCCTAGGAACTTCTTCGCGACACCCGCTCTCCCCCATTCAATTACCCATACCTCGCTACACAAGCTTACGTCCTATTCAGCAGGCTTGATAGACTGCACGAATCGAAACAAATTCGTCGGATCATAATCAGCCTTGACCCACTCCAACCTATCCAGATTACTCCCCCAATACAACCGCACCGCCTCGCTCTCACTGATCTGAGAATCTGGATAGTTCGCATACATCCCCCACTGATCACTGCCCAGCCCCTTGGCAATACTCTGCCTCAACCCCTGGAGCAGCGCGAACCCGTCGGAGGGATACGTCTGGCTCGTCGAGACGCCATCCTTGAGCTGGAAGAGAAGCATCTTGTCGCGGTGGACGTAGGCGGTATCGTTGGTCTTGGGCCGCGCCACGGCTGAGTTTGCGCCCCCGTGGAAGTTCATGTGCATGTACCAGGACCGGGTTGCGGTGAGGCCGTTCTTAGCAATGGCGTCAACGAGGGATTGGAAGGTCGTTTTTGTAAGCGCGGGTGTTGTGAGGCTTGACGCGTAGGAGTTGTCGTGCTGTTGACCGCGTTAGTAGGTCTCCCCCCTTTTGCAGCTTCGGTGTGCAAGGTGCAAGTTACCTCGTTGTATGTTGCCGTCGTCACGTCAATATCCGTCACACCCGCATAGTGCTTGATAAAGTCGATCCATCCAACAGTCTTGGAACTAGACACTTTCGCACCAATCTTTGCAAGCAAAGGTTGCACCGCCGCGCGAAAGCCCGCATCATCGCCAATATACGCGCCGTTCAGATAACTTCCGTCGTTGTTAAACGTCGTCGACATCGTCAGCTCCGCCGGCATAGTCTTTGCGAATTCCTGCGTGTCCAGAAGAACCTGTGGCAGCTTCGCCGTATCCCAGACAAGATCTATATCGAAATATGTCACCTTCTCCGGCGCGACAAAGGTGTTAAATTCCAGTTCTGCGACGATGACCATGGAGGAGCCCGCACCGCGGATGGACCAGAAGAGGTTGGGACGCTCCGTCGCTGAACAGCGCGTGATTGTGCCGTTGGCGAGGACGACTGTCGCCGCTTTGATCCAGTCTGTTGCGAGGCCGTAGGTATGGGAGACCATGCCATGACCTCCGTGGAGGGCGTGGCCGCTCACACCAACACTGAGATACGCGTAAGCCAAGCTCCAAGTATCGTTGATCATTCAGATTGACGCTCACGCTGGGCAAGTTCCATGCGATATCGCCCTCTTCCCCTGATTGTACAGCTCCGTGGCTACGTGCCCCAACCGCGCACCAGCCTGGACCTTGGCCGTCCCGTCGCTCGCGACAGTCACGCTGTACATGCGGTCTAGGTTAATCACAAGATGTCCATCTTCGCCGCCGTACCCAGTCGAGATGTAGCTGTGTCCGCCGCTCTTTGCGCTGACCCTGACACCGCTCTTGGAACCGCATGTTACCGCGGAGGCGATTTGGGCATTTGTGGTCGGCACGGCGACGAGAAGTGGCTTAACGGGGACACGGAGGTTGTATGGCGTTGGGGCTGAGGATGCGATGGGCACGGAAGCGGTGCGGAGGCAGGCTGTGAGGTCGTCGAGGGGTGCGCTGAGGGCTAGAGTCGCTTGAACTAGCAGAGCTATAACGAGATGCATTTTGACGGGTTCTCGAGTCTTCCATCACCTATTACAACATTGGCTGACGTTGCCTCAGCCGGGGAAACTTGATCACTTATAGTTCTCTTACGAAGACCTCTACATCACGCCAGAGTCTTGGCAATCTGATCATAGGTGTTCTCACCTTCCCACATGACCTGCGCCGAGTCTTCCTCCCGAGCTGGGGTTCCAATTCATAGGTGAGCTTAATTTACCTCACTTCATGATCGTCGTTAGGTGATTTCAGCTACTGGGTAATACGTGCATCGATTCTTTCTCGTTCCTGGGCCTTCCCCGGTGTGGCTGCATAGCATTCTCGCCCCGTCGCCCCGTCCCCACGAGAACCTGCAGGTCGGGTATGCTGCATGTCAGCTCGTGTATGCGCGTCTCAGCCCATGAGATTTTGCTTATGTAAAAGGCTTTCCTGTTGTAAATGGATGCTTTGCAACACATGGTGATTGTTGAAAACGTTAGGAGAAGCATGGCGACGTTGAAATATTGTCTGTTGAGGATTCTTATCAAGAGACTGATTGACGTCTCAGCACACATGTAACACGGAGAAACGCTTGAGCTAACTACCGACGGGAACCAGATCTGACAAGGAGCAACCTTGACTCCGATAGTCTTCGATTCGTAAGCGGAAACCTTTGCTTTAGTAGGCTGCCATTATTCCCGAATGCGTCTCATCTGCGTAAAGCCGTCTCATTCATGTGTAAAGTCCGAGATCCAAAATCGACTATCTTGATGTTGTTTTGCTTGAGTATCCCTTGGTCTGCTCCAGACCGCGGCAGGCTGGATGGATCTACATTGCATAGCCTCAGTTCAAGCGCCAATCGCCTCTCGAATGTAACCCAACAACTACTAGGCATCTCACCAGGCTGACTGTGAGATAATAATTGACATATAGATGCACGTTTCACACATATTTACATCCATTATCTGTCCTCCATTTGAACAACACTCAGTTATAGCGAACAATAAGCGTCGATCATTGAAATCCAGAATGAGCTCACCGAGTTCACAAATTCCACCTCCACAAGCGGCTTACATCCCGAGCAAGCATGCAGGTAGAGCCCACGATGAAGAAAGTGGAAGTCACAACGAACGCCATGTGAATCGCAATCAACTGTTACCGTCGCATGATCTTCCCAACGCGAACCCGAGCTCTATCTTGACCTTGTCATCCAGCATCTCGATCTTTCCCGGCCAACAAATAGTTAAACTAGTTATGTTAGGACACAACACCATCATTCCACTCCCGTGGCTACAGCGAATTATAAATCCAATAGGGCATTTTGGCGATGAGCTTCCATCAGTTGAACATCGCTCACACTCTGTAGAGGCCGCACCAGGACTCACCGAGCACCGACGACCTACTGGAACCTCGAACCACCCACCAAGAACGACCGAGTCATCAAGGAGTACTCCTGCGACGTTTCAATCTTCAGCAGTCAATAGGCCTATAGATTGCAAGAAAAGAGCCGGTAGGCGTATCGTCAGGAGGAAGGCCAGTCCGCCAAATCCAGTTGTCCAACGAAGGGAAGAGATATGCGACGTACTAGAACCGCTGTTCTCCAATGCCCCGTTCGTCTTGGTCTGCGAGGGCAAAGAACAGGATGCTGTCATCTCCACCATCAAACTAGGAGATGCATTAAATTCGATCAGCTTATGGGCTAAATTGTCTGGAGTCGCGCGGCAGGTAACTCGGCGGTGGAAACGATTGCTTGGCCCTGTGAGGCTTGAGCTGGTACATGTAAGTGGATCTCTTATGGTCTCGGACATAGAACCTCAAGATCCAAATTATAATCCAGATTGTTGCTGACCTTGAACTTCAAAGCTGAGAATTGTAGGCCGGCATGGTTGCAGGCCGGATGCATTCCGGGGGCAGTTCCAGATCGTCAACATTGCTGAAAGAATCGAGGCGCTCCAAAAGTTGATCAGCAACTACAAATATGACATAACCGAACCATCGAATCCCGACGAGAGCGAGTTGTGCTGCTACCATGACCTAAGAATGGATACAGTCCAGCATGGCAGCATGATTCACGAGGCATGGGGAGAAGACTACACATCACCCAAACTCGGCAGTTGCGGCGTTCAAATCCATGTGGATAGGTTGAAAGAGCTTTCAAAGCTCAAGCTGGCTTCAGTCTGGGACATGCTCCTGGTCTATCCAGAGCTAGCCGTGGGGAATGATGTGCTTTACGATAGATGGATTTATTCCTCAAAGTGAGCAGGTCTCCAGTGTCTTTGCTGTCGAGTGATGAAAGGCCTCACTCGAGGTACTTACTGACAACGTTTCTAGAGACATCATACCACCTGTTGAAACTGCCGTGATTCGTGCAGTGGCAGACATTGAGTTTGTCGGCTTCCGAATCGTGGAATGGCCCTATACTAGCTTTAGCACGCCATCTGTGATACTTCTAGTCGGGAGCACTGTGGTTTTTGGTCTCCTTGTTATCGTTTCCCAAGCCGTGTATCGAGACTGGGGAGTTGCTTATACAGCGGGTGCCTTTTATGTGGCTTTGGCTGGGGTATTGACAACCTGGATTGCTTGGACATCGACTGCCTAGGCGATGCAATGCTGCCGCCTCAATTACCGATTGGCTTTGATAGTCACATTTCGTGAGGGTGAATACTGATATGTGGGCTCGAAAAGTTCCTAGGAACCTGGCCTACCTATTGTCGATGAGTCGTCAAGGAATGAAAAACGCCTCTTAAAAAGTCTTGGATAATCTTGAAAAAGCAAAGATTTGGAGGGGAAATGAACTCACTGCGTTATGGAGGCCCGACGGCCAATGCGCGACCAGAAATGGCTTACATAAGCCGCGATGTGGAGCCTCTGAAACCTTCCCCCAGCTTCCGGCACTTCCCTCCTCTTATCGCGTACCTCAATCTCATGATGAACTTCGAGGACGACCATCGTACCGCCAACACTTACAGTCATGGCCAAGTCGGCCCGGAATCAGCTGGTCGGGAACCCCCGACCTGCGTCCGAGCAGGCGTTGCAGGCCGCGAGAAACTACATCAACGACTCGCGCAATCCGGTCGTGCTCAAGAGAGGACATGCCCCGAAATACTACGTGGTCTACTACCTGCGCGGACCCGGGGCGCACGGCAGGAAATATGGCATCTTCACGGATTGGAACGATACCAAGAAACAGACTGAAGGATGCGAGAACAAAAGTACGCGCAGGAATTTGGCTGTGTAGTCCGTCATTCGTCAACCCCACCACGCTAACACGCGGCAATCAATCCAGACACTACCGCTTCGAGCTTCAACGTGGCTGTGAGTGAAGACCTTCTCATTTGTGAACTAGGAGACTGACATACATTAGATGGACCTTCTAATCTCTGGGCTTGCTCTCGAGATCGACGCTGGCTCTTTGATGAATTATTCCCCGGCACATCAAAGTAGGTCTACCGTACCCGCGCCTGCACCCGCCGCGGCGCCTTCTTCAGTCAAGCGGCCCCGGGAGGAGCAGGCGGAGCACGATCAGGAGCCTTCGGATGTGTTTTATTTTGACGTCCATCGATCCAAAGCCGTCAAACGCGAAGCAAACCATCAATGTGGTTCACGCGAGTCGCCTATCAAGATTGAGGATGATGACGATGTGGTCATCAAAGACGAGAAGGATGATGCTCGCGAGGCCGTGATCAAAAAGGAGGAGGATGATTCCCCTCAGGCAGCAATAGAAAGGGAGGAGGATGGTTTCCATGAGGCCGCGATCAAACGGGAGAGGGGTTTTGACGAAGAGGAAGAAGTAACGAGGGAATCGGAGGGGTTTTTCCCTCTCAAGGGCTACTCAGATCAAACGAACGAGTATATCAAACGCGAGAATGATCGCCCTGAAGGCGAGAAAGACCCGGCAGTCGCAAAGGCGGCCCCGGAATTTCCCCTATGCCCTGAACAGCAGCACGCCCTAGATCTGGCCATGCAAGGTCACAGCCTCTTCATCACGGGGTAGGTCCATCATTCCTAAAGGAGGAGGAAAACTAAGTCACGACTGACCCTCTCAGATCTGGCGGCTGCGGCAAATCGGTCCTGGTGAAGGCCCTCAACAAGGCCCTAAGCGCCCAAGAAAAGATCGTCTACCTCGTCGCGCCTACGGGCCAGGCCGCCACTAATATCGATGGCAGGACAACGTTTTCCTACGCTGGATGGAACGTCAGTGCCCCGAAGGAGACATTCAAGACTCTTGTCAAAAACTCGCGTTACCCTTCGGTGTTTAACCGCATCGAGAGCACCGACGTCCTCATCATCGACGAGATCAGCATGGTCGAGGGCGAATTCTTGAACCGGCTCTCTGACGTTCTCGGAATGCTCCGACGGGAGAGGTTCGCCACAGGCAGGGGCATTATCTGCAGAAAACAGACCGCGGATTCGGTGAGGCGACCGTTCGGCGGCATCCAGGTCATCGCGGTCGGGGACTTCTGCCAGCTATCCCCCGTGCAACCGTTCGAGTACTGCACTGAGGAGGTGTCATACGACCCGCACCGCCAAACTTCGACGGCGTGTGGAAAGTTGGTTTTCGACAAGGAACGCAATCTGCACTTTTGTCCTCGAGACAGAGAGCACCCTACATTTCCAGATGCTCAAAAATGGGCCTTCAACTCGCGGACCTGGGCAGATTGTAATTTTCAGTGAGTATCATGATCCGTTGGATGGTCGGATTGAGGACGCAGACCTGACATCCTCGGCGAATAGATACATCCATCTAACCAAGATCCATCGGCAAAGCGATGAGAAATTCATAACGATGCTCCAGAAAATCCGCCTGGGTCACACAACCGACGCCGATCTCAACGTCCTGCTGCAACCTCGCGAAGTCAGGAATGGTATAGCCCTGTTCGGCCACAGGGAGAAAGCCAAGGACTACAACGACTCGGAGCTCAAGAAGCTTCCCAGCCGCCCAGAACAGTTTGATGCCCTGGACCACCCGAAAAACCTCGGCGAAGACCGAAAGAACCGATTCGACAAGCAGCTGAAACTCAAGGCTGGCATGCCGGTTGTGCTGCTGGCTAACGTGAGTTCTCCCCTCTCCCCTCTCCCCTCTCGCTGCGCTATCGCACACCCTGTTCCAAGGTTACCTAGAGTAACGCGCTAGTGAAAAACTCGCAGCTCGACGTCGAGAATGGTTTCTGCAACGGCAGCCAGGGCAAGCTCGTCCGCTTCATACGGAAGTTGGACGAATGCAACAAGCCCAAGATGCCTGAAAAGGGGAACTACAAAGGGGACACCTACGGCTTTCAGATCGCATGCGCGAGATACGAACAGATGACCAACTACATTAATGGTCCCTCGGGTGCCAAGGGTTGTGAGTTCTCCCGTGTCCCGGGTCAATCAAAGAGTTGTAGCCACGAACCGCTAACCTTCGTCCCTCCTTCTCCGCTGCACAGTCCCTGTAATCATATTCGCAAACGGCCAAAATCGCGTCATCCTCCCCTACTGCGACATGGACGACATCGAAACAGAGGTCATTCCCACCGAAAACGGGTACAAAAAGGTCCTGAAGTCATACTCGGCGCGCACACAGATCCCTCTAGTCCCGGGCTGGGCCATGACCATTCACAAGAGCCAAAGCCTGTCGCTCGACCGTGTCAGCGTTCACCTCCAGAACGTCTGGTGTGGAAGGCAGACCTATGTGGCCCTGAGCCGCGCGCGATCTCTAAGCGGTCTCAAGGTCATCGGAAACAAGTTAACGATGAGGAGTACACTGCCGCTGGACCCCGAGGTGAGCAGATTCATGATGGAGGCGGAGCGCCGGGCGGCAGCGGCCCCTGCCCCGGCTTCGACAGCGGCAGCGGCCGCGGCAGACCAGGCGAATGATTAGCCACTCCTTTGAAAGGCACGGGCGGTGTGAGATAGGTTTTGAACATCGCTGGGGGATGAGAGCGGAGGAAGTAAGATCAAATCCCGGCTCTTTTGGAGCTGAGTTAGCTGTTGAAGGGATAGAGAGAGAGAGAGCGTTTGAACCGCTTGACAGGTTCTTTGTCTTCTAGGTTTGGTAGCGATGCTTTCTGTTGGCGTAGGGAGGCTTTGTCATATTCTGTAGGATACCAACTTAAACAGCCGAGGCGGGTGGCTCGACGGCAACGAGGGCATTAGCGATATAAGCGGGAGTTATCTCGGCGTTGTAGTCAATACTGTCGTGCCCTCAACCGATGCGAGGCTGATTGACGATGGACGCGTCCCCTCGAACGTAGGAACACTCAAGAAGCCTGGGAAGCTCGTAGCAGCGGATGACATAAGGTAAGTAAGCTGCTGACCCATCCCTCAGTCTGGAATATACTTACCTAGAAAGCTATCTGGGGAGACAATCCTCACTTTCTACCCATTTTGAAGATACCCGTAGTGGTCGCCATGGCTTGTTGCCATACACTTACAGGAACGATAACACTCTCTTCAAGATAGGAGTCATGACCTCGTTTAGTGAAAAGGAAATAGCCAGCGTACTTTCGTTTCTGGAGCGTCGCATCATCTGCACAGGCAACCAACACAGACGCAACACGTTCCCTATAGTTAGTAAGGCAACGAATCGATTTTGCGCGAGCGTACGAAAAGCAACTGCAGCGGCGATGCGGGTGCCTCAAGTTTCTGGCCGGTGGTAGTTATAGCTAAGGTAGGTAGCCTTGCCTTGTTTCCTCTCAAACGGCCAGCCTGCTTGATCACCCCCTCTTCCTCACTGACCTAGGTGACACGAAGGGGAAGGGACGTGGACGAATGGCATTCAAGAAATCATTGAGTAACACACCATAAGACCCATGCGCACGCAGCTCGTTTGTCGTTCAAGACAACCGGTGAGGCACAGTGTTGCCCCGATGGTCGCCCGGGTAGCCGGGCTCTGCTCTCTGGTTCCGTCATTATCCGGGCTGATGCATATCGTCAGACAGCCTTGTTTTCTCATTCTCTAGGATGTTGTCTCTCTTGGAGTCTGTACTCAGGACAACTTACCAAGCGTTGGGCTTCAGGTGGTACAGAGAAGAGTACGCCAGCTTTGGTCGGATTAAATGGTCTCGTAGAGCATTTTTGGAGACTGAAGAGTTTCACGGGAAGATGAACAGAAAGCAAACTCCCGCGCCCGCAACATCCTGTCCTCGTACAGCCTAGAGATAGTGCTCTCGCAAACTGTCTATAGACACACTCCAACCTAACGACCTGGCGCGTTCATTCTAATGAGATTCTTTCGCACTGTCCGACCGGGCAAAGTAGCGGTGCGGCCTCTCTCCCGATCCCACCCCTTGAGAGCCCCAAGTCGCAGCCCGTTTCGGCCTACTTTAATACCAAGGGGCCTCCTCGTGGCGATTCAGAATCGGACCAGGTCGTTACGATATGTCAGCACTATGGCGACTCGACCAGCTATGATGGACGATACCGTTACCAACACCGCGCTGACCAGCACTCCCACCACGGCCACCACGCCGGCTGCTCTGACAGAGCTCTTCGAAAAGGCCGAGGCCGGCTTCCCGCCGCGATTCCGCGAGCATGGATGGTACTTGACCGTCGTATGAAGACCTTTCGCTTCAACTAACTCCAGTCCAAATCGTCACTGAGTGGGATTCTATCGGAAGACCAAGACTGACAGGCTGCTCATCTAGATCGCCTCGCTCATCGGTTTAGGCCAACAGAAGCTTGCTGGGAGTCTCTACACACATCTGGTGGCCCAGCCCCAGTACCAGACACCCACTGAGCGCCAAGCCCTCATCCGCCGCCTGCGCGAGGCCATGGTCAAGTGCATCATCATTAATGGCATCCCCGTCGTCATCGAGGCCGTCACGTCAGTCTCGGAGGTCGAGAGGCCCGAGGACACGGATCAGTCCTGCTCGCGCGAGGACTGGCAGATCGGGCCCGAGACGTCGAAGCGCGCCGCGGCTGTGCTCAAGGTGCTGTATAAGAGCGAGGTGGGCGCCCCCGTCGAGGTGCTACATGCCCACAAGGATATCCGTGAGTTCATCCCTTGAAGCCCATATCCATATTGTCTGGGTGTTGGAGTTTCTAACACTGCGCTCACCAGCATGGATATCGGTCAACGTGTCCTATGGCCTTTTCCTCTCGGATCATCGCATCCTCGATATACAGGAGACGGAGCTCGTCGTGACCCCCGCGATTATGACACAGAATCTTCAAGACCCGACGTACTGGCATCTAAGGGCCTGCCTACGTGTAGGCATGGAGCCGGAGGAGGTCGAGGCCATCCATAAGGTCATCGAGCTGGTAGCAGCCTATGGGGGGAAGACGCTGGACGTAAAGCGCGTCAAGGACGTGACGGATGCGTGAAGTGAAGTTGAATGGAACGAAATAACACCTTTTCTATTAAGCTTACTTCTCCAGATCAAGATGCCCCTTACACGAGCCTCTCTTTAAACTCCGCCAGTGTCTGGTGAAAGTGCTTGAATGACCACATCCCTCTATTCCATTCCAGCTCGTAGACCGCCGCAGCCTCGACAAACTTGCGCTCTGCCCTAGTCATCAATTCATGAATACTTCGTCTCTCCTCTTGGCTACCCCCAAATAGGGCCGTCGCTTCGTCGATCTCGATGATGATCAGCGACAGCTCCGCAAGGCTCCGGGCAGGTCGCGGCTTCTCCGACGCCGTCTTTTCCAGCAGCGCGATTATCCAGGCCTTCGCTTCTCTGAAGCGCCGTTGCGCCCGGAGAGCTTGAGAGTATACCTCTGCGAGCTCGTAGTCACTAAAGGTAAACTCCAGTTTGCCGCCTTCAAGCATGTTCATCCGTACCGCCAGCCCCTTCATAACCTGAGCTTCGGCTTCGGCCGGCCGTCTCTGCGCCAGGCGAGATCTGGCCATGAGCTGGTGCCACACGCGAAGCAAAAAGTGGTTTTGGCCGATGCCTCTCTGCAGCTCGCGTGCGCATCCTTCGAGCACGGCCGCGGCTTCGCCCGGCAAGCCCCGGTCGATCTTGATGGCGCCGAGAACCAACTGTTTACGAGCCAGCATTGCGCCCGAGTCGTCGAGTGAGTCATCCAAGTACTCATATATCTGCTCGGCGCGGTCGTAGTCTCCTAAGCGGAAAAAACAGGGGGCACAGGTCTGTGCCAGGGACGAGGCGTACATCTTGTCCAATCGCGAGCGCTGGTGAAATGTGGCGAGGTAGCGAGCGCAGTGGTCGCTGCACTCCCTCCGCCGCCCCATGCTCATGAGCCGAAAGGCGCGGCGCACCGCCAGCAACCCGTCGGGGATCCGCCAGTCCGCGTGCTCGCTGTGGGCGGCGACAAGGTTGAAGAAGCGGTCGGCGCGATACAGCGTGCCGTGGTCGAGGGAGACGGGAACCCAGGCGTCAAGGGCGATCATGCAGGCACCGATCTTATTAAGCTCCGTGTCGCTGAGAAGCTCCGGCGTGTCATAGAGATTTTCGAGGCAGATACAGAGATAGGGATATAATGCCTCGCCCTCAGCGAAGCGCGACGCGTCGTAGGCGTTGACGATGGCACGTATGGCGAGAAAGATGGCTGCGCGGCCGCTCCTGGTCCTGTCCGCGCTCGACTGCCGCTCCCTGAGCCAGTAGTGGACGAGCGGATGAGTTGACATAGTCTTCTGGTCCACGAGCGAGAAGGACGCAAGAGTGCCGATGGCCTCGACTACCTGCAGATGTGGGACCATAAGTTCCGGTGGCACTTGGCGGACAAGCCGATCGTAGTCGGCCGGCGTCTGGACGAAATCGACAAAGTCTCGTAGGAGGAGCCGTTGTTGGAGCTCCGGCCCGCGGATCTGCGCGAGTTCGCACATGAGCGCGAACGGGGCACCGTCCGAGTAGAAGAAGGCCGCTAGGTCGAGGAGGCGCGCGGCGACGGGGTTCCTGGTGGCCACTGCGTGGAATGAGATCTCCCAAGTGGTGAAGACGGTCTGCTCGTACGACCAGACGGCGCGCGGTGGCTTATGCCGAAGTAGCTGGTCGTGGCTCACGCGGTAGAGATCCATGTACTCGGCAAAGTCGATGGATTGTCCCGTGATGTAGGCGCCGGCCTGATCGAGGGCCAGCGGGAGGTATCCCAACTTGTGAGCGACATGGCGCGCAGCTTCTTCTTCATCGTCTCCGCGACGGCCAGAGCAATTCTTGAGAAGGGTTACGGCCTCTTCCTCTTCCATCATGCCGACCTCGACCTGGTGGCCTAGTCGGCGGGCCTCCTTGCGGCGGCTCGTGATGAGGATATGGCCCCACGGCACGCGGGGAAAGAACCGCGAGACGTCAAGATTGTCTAGATCGTCGACATTGTCAAAGACTAGGAGCCACCGACGCGACTCCTGCTCTTCCTCGCGCGAAAGCCACTGCAGAAGCGCGAGCGCCATGACTGGCATGTCCTGCTGCCCGCGGTCTTCGTGAGACGTGGTGATCTTGGGAACGAGCCCCAGCGTCTTGGCCAGCTGTGTGAGCGACTTGATGACCTCCTGCTCGTCTACAGCAAAGACCCAGAGGACTGTAGCGTAGCGGCCGGCGTTGTAGGCATCGTAAGCGAATGCCGTGGCGATCTGGGTCTTGCCTACGCCCCCGAGGCCCGTCAGCACGAGGCGCTTCTGTTGCGTGGCGTAGTGGCCATCCTCAGAGAAGAAGTTCTCCATCTCGGCTATGATCTTCTCACGGCCGGTGAAATGGGGGTTAGAGCTGACAGGTACCTCAAAAGAGACGTTGGAGAGGGTCGCCGCCTCTGTTGCCGGAGCGGGAACGGGAGGATAAGTAAGTGATAGGGGAGGAGGCAAGGAGGAGGCTTTGGGGACTGCGGCCAGCTCTTTATCAAGCGGACTTTCCGACACGTTTTGCGGTTCAGGTTCATACCGAAAAGCCTGGCACTTGGATGTCGCCTCTCTTGGGCACTTCA